GACCCCTCTTTAGCTGGAGGGTATTCCCCCCCCCCCCCCCCCCCCCAAAAAAAAAAAAAAAAAAAAATAGGGGGGGGGGACTGTATCAAACTCGCAGACGATCGTCTAAGAGAGCGACGCCAATCCTACAACAGCTGTTGATTGCGAACGTCATTCGTGGTAGCTCGTCCCGCACCTGTTCTTCAAGGACACCCAACCCCCCACCCCAATTGTGATAGTGTTGCAGAGACTGGGTAGGGGAGGTAATTATGACGAAATAACAAGGAATGGGGTGTGTGCATTGGGGAGAGGGGTGGGATACAAATTAAAATGTTAATTTATTAAAAGTGTCAAAAAAGTTTGACACTTGAGGCAGCAGGTGTTATTGACTTGCCCATTTGGTGACCCTAACGAGCTTAGACTCTATAACACAGTGCAGTGGTCCCCAAACTTTTTATCGCCGTGGACCGGTCAACGTTTGATAATTTTACCGCGGCCCTATGAGGGGGTGGGGGTGTTGATTGTTTATATTTTGGATTGTTTTGATTTATAATTTGGTTCCCGCTGTGGCTGCCCTCTTTGCCCCATTCTCATGGCCCTGCCTGAGGGCAACATGGCACCCAGAGTGACGCATAATATCGGGACCACTGGGCTGGCCAAATTGTCGGCTGTATAAACACGCGATTCATTATAAAAATATATATATATCCCGTGACGTCACAATTACCCATAAAAATTGTTTGATGTCTTTGGTTTTTTCTATAGGGATGGGGGCTAAAAGCTCCTTGGACGTACGAGTTGGGGGGGGGGGGGGGGGGGGTGTCCCCCCAAAAGGGGGGGGGGGGGGGGGGGGGGGGGTGGGTTTGGGGTCCCCCCAAAAAAATCAACACAACACCCCCCTTCCCCCCCCCCCCCCAGCCTGTATGGTTCCGGTTGCTGCGAGCCTTTGTGTCCGTACGTCCATATTTATCATCTAGAAAATCTGGCAAGCATATAAAATGGAAATAATTTAATGTTTCCTGGGCGGCCCGGTACTATTTGATCAACGGACCGGTACCGGCCCGGGGTTGGGGACCACTGCTATAACAAATCAGTATTTTTTTAAAGGGGAAACATGAAGAATTTAAACTAACTTAATTAAAAAGGAAGCACATTTAAGAAACATGTAAAATTTAATTTAAATTTTGCATAGATTTAAAGTTACATTATTTTTATTATACTTTTTTAAAGGATAATAAAATATGAACGAAATAAAAAGGAATTTTAACCAAAAAAAAAAAGAATGGGTTTTTAGAGGGACGGAGACATTGTTTTGCAGATGTGTATCAGCCATTGTTATAAAATATTATTTAGGTGCAAGTGCAGGTCACATTATCACAGTCATTGCTAAAAATAAAGTTACTGGTGACATTTGACGTGGTTCAAACTCGAAGTCTGATCAGCATAAAATAAGATGTATTTACATAAGAATTAATTACACGGCAAAAAAAAAATTGGGGCATCATTAAAAAAGAAGCAACAACCTACCAAGTAAATTGAGATTTATTTTTTAGGAAAAGCTGTTTTTAAAAAATAATGATAAATATCCATTATGCATATTTCCTGATAACTAACTCAGATGTATGAATACGACCACAAACTGTAAATGGGTGAAAGGAAGAGGGGCATGGGCGCCCGCAGAAAACTTTCTAGGGGGGGGGGCAAAAAAATCTATTAACTTTCTGGGGGGGGGGCAAAAATTTTTAGTAATTTTTTAATATAGTTTTAATTTACTGTANCCCTCATCTCACCCCCCTCCCCTCTGTTGCACGCGTACTTTTTTATTAATTTTTTTTTATTTTTAACGAACACTTTTCCCAACTATTACGTTACAACGAGCTTTCGGGAACCCCCCCCCCTTTTCCCACTCCAAAAAAACAACAACAACCAAGAACAACAAACAAACAAACAAAACCCTGATAACAATTAAAATCTATTTTTTTATATTGTGAAGTTGCAGAATAGAAAAAGTGGCACGGGTTTTCACCACTCCGCCAGTTCAGACAATCAAAATAATGATGTCACAAAACTACTTTACATTCTTTGTCGCAGTCAAAGAAGATGAGGGGGGTTGGAGGAGTTGTCGCTAGGGCGAATAAATATTACAGTTGACGCAGCTAGCTCAATAGATACGTTTTTATTTTTATAGACTTTGACATTCCCACAAATCCCCCTACCCAAGCGTTCTCCTTATTCAAAAACCCCCACCTCCCCTCTCAGTGCGTACATAATATAACGAAGGATGGTTCCAACTAAAAAATAAATTAAAAAATTACAATCAATCGTTTTTCTCGGTCTATTCGCTGCCAGATCTTTATTAGAAAGGGCTCAAACTGATCCTCCATAATTGACTCACCTAATTTATGCTTATTATGCCAATCTGTTACGACATCAACGATTTTGGATAATACCTAAAATAAAAGCCAATGGCATTTTACATCTTTACAGTTAGGGTTCTAAATTCTATTCAGACGTAGGCGTCTTCTTGAAATTTTAAGGTACGTTAATTGTCAAACTAATATTATTAGTAAAGAATGTGACACATGTTGATTTAATCTTAGCTGCTTAAAATTTTAACCGAATCTCAGTGGGCCTAGTGGAATACATAATTAAAATTTAGAGTATTAAGTTACCACTAATTTTGTAGGCTAAATATAAATAAACATTATGTAGGCCTATTGTGCATAGGTGTAGATGAGCACTCTATGTAGCCAAAGGATTGGACTAAAAATGTTTTTATTTTTTTATTATTAATTATTGAAAATATTTACTGCACTTTCTTTCTTTGCGTAATGCATTTAAGAAATTGTAAATATTTTCTACTTTTTATTGCGTTTAAACTCGTCTTTGATAGGAAGTATTTTTTTTTTAAGTTTTAAAAAAATATATATGTAGATCTATATGTTTTTAGTATTGATATTGTAATCTTTCAAATATCGAGAAAAGTAGAATTATTTTCGTTTTTGAACAACAAATGCTTACAAAATTACAGTTGAAGCGACTAGTCTTTGATAGAAAGTCTTTAAAAAAATATTTTTAAATATAGACTATTTAATTTTTTTTATTTTTTTTTAAATGAGCCTCTCTAGTCTTAGTCCTTAGTTAGACAACCCCACACAAATCTCTTCATAACGACATTTGAGGTCAACTGTGCTCTAGCTAGTAACTTGATTGTCCCCAGACTTCATATGTGAAACTACCTTTATAGTGCTGTATAATGTATAGCAGCGTTTTTTTTCTCCCAAAATCAACTTAATGATACATATAGGGCCTACTAATAAAGAATCATGTTTAATTCATTAAAATTCCTGATTGTTTTTTTTAAATTAAAAACCGAACACCTTGTCACAAGTTAAGAGGAATGTCATTCCCCTTGCTGTCCTCTCGGATACTACATTATAGCTAAGGGTTTATTTTAATGATCACATTGTTTTTATTATAATTTATTATTTTGTTTTTGCTGAAAAAGGCTTCTTTTCGAAAGGCTCGTTTTATTGTACGCACTTTTTTTCAGGTTCCCCATACTTTGTTTCACGTATTTAATTCTACCTAACCTGATTGCTTGCAGTCTCTCTCTCTCCCCCCCCCCCCCCATATTACCATGGAAATTTTAGAATGATGAGATCGTCATCAATCCAGTGGAGTTGGAAGGGGACGTGGAGGAGGGAGGATTCACCCAGGCCCAGGGCAGCATATTCAGTCATCAGAACATTTTTTTTTTCGTTATCGTAGAAGTAGAAGGGCAGCGGCAAAATTCTCGGCCCATCCTTGCGACACAAATCCTAGATACGCTGCTGCATCTATCAGTCCAGAGTAACCACAGCAGTGGCCCAGTCCGGAGTAACCTACAGCAGTAGTATGCAGACTAATTAGTCAATTAAGAGAGCCAAAAAATCAGACGCAGGACGATTGAACATTTTTTGAGAGTCCAATTTCTTTTCAAGTACTTGTCAAGAACCATGTTTTTCGGAGTCAAATGCAATTTGTTGCCGATGTGCCGAGCCGCACTCAGGTCGCTAATTTGCTAAAGAGCCGCGCTTCGCCGACCACTGACCCACAGGAAAATAAGGCACGTGCAGTAGCATCCATTGACTTTTATGCTTTATATTTATTTAATTAAAAAAATACTCGCCCCCTTTGTGCCAATTGTTACGCAACTCGGAAGGAGTCAACATTTTGACCTACTAGGTTCAAGGGCTTCCGCAGGTTCTAATCCATCATTATTTTATTTGTTGCAATTAATATAACAAGTTTTAAAAACGGCTAAACTCAATATTCATGACACCAGTTTGCGTTATTAAGATATAGCTTTTAAAATTTTTATTTTGGATTAAAGAAAACAGATAAGCTTTCCAAACTTTTTCAGACGATGGCGAGATCATAAGTCATAAAATTTAAAATTTACATCATGACATTCTAATTGAAATTGCATTTCGGTCAAAGAAGTGATTTACGTTTATTAAATGCAGGTGTCGGTAAAGAGGAAACCCGAAACCCACACAAAACACCAACATGGCAGGTTGGTCGGGGTTCAGCGATGATGATCTTCGCAAAATGCGACAATCAAATTCGAAAGGTAAAATTAGGCTAGTCACTGACAATTCTACCCATTATTTAATCACAGCAAACTGTCAAAACACGATATGACTGCTTTGATAAGACGATTTAAAAAGTATTTATGATTAGACTAGAGCTAGTGCTAGAATTTAGATATAGACCCCGGTAAGACCCCTGACTGATAGTCACTGATAGTATAGTAATAGTAGTAGTAGTAGTAGACAGACGTTTGAAATTGAAGGCAGACCTCTGTGACTCTGCTGCAGACTTTAGGGCTAAAATTAGTAAAATGCAGTTAGCGGCAGAACCAGCAATGTCTTCCCCGTCCCGTAAAAAATTTAAACATTTTGTAAAAATAAACTTGTGTGAATTAATGATAATGTTTAGTTTTCTTGGTCTTTAAAAGTCTTTACTCTTTAATCTTAATGAAATTTGAAATGGTAAATAAATACTTTAAACTTTTAATTAAGGATATAAATATGGGGGACCAGGACTGATAAATAGTCACCAAAACTTTTGGCAAAAGCTAAAGTGTAAAGTAAATTAATAATTAATATCATAATTTAATAATTAAATTAATTAATATTATGCTTGCTTTCTTCTACTTAATACTAGTATTACTTATACTTCATACTTTATTATAATTTCAAGAATCTCTATCTATATACACTCTATAATGACTATTATTATAGTATAGTTAGTTATTATAGTTAGTATTATTAAAATTTATTATAGTTTTTAATTATTGAAGTTATATGACATAGGACAAATATTTATTTCATTAGTCAGTACTTAAAAGGTACTACAAATACTATGACTCAGTATGAGTATGACTATAAGTATTAGTACTAAGTAGTAGTAGTGTATACTACTCATACTATTAGACCCAAGCCTAAGATGTTACTAAAAAATAAGCCCTAGTTTAGTCTAAGCTTTAAACATTATACTTAAAGACTTAAACAAAATATCCAAATAGTATTAAAAACTAACTGGCTTTTGTTATGTAAGTCAAGTTATTTATATATTTTATTGGACATTTTTTAGGCCTACCTAATAAAACAAACTACTATCATTTTTTTCATTTGTCCTAATAAAGAGTAAATTGAAAGTAACACCAAAACACTTGCAGCATCAAAATAGTGAACACAAAAGTTAAATAAAATACAATTAAGAATCAAGTTAAAAATGTAGCCCACCAGTCTCACGAACTTATTTTATTCATCTTGTAAGACTTATTGACTGTTGCTGTAAGCTGCATTTGAATAGTGTTAATGTGACCTCATGTTAATTTAATTAAAATAAGTTGTTACTAGAATAGGCATAATTAAAATAAATAATTTAAATTCGGGATCTTCCATTAATCAGTAGACATAACTTATAACCAAAGGATTAGGTACCCGGTACCATATTCTTTAGGTTAGACCTTTTATATATGAAATTGAATGAATGTATTTTTTTGTATTTAGGATATTGATTCTGAGTCCAGAACTTCTGAGATGCCACCGAACGTAGCCATATTACTAAATGATGCCCAACCAGCTGATTGGATGGAGGCTATCATGTATGTGGGGGGCATTTTTAGAGTTTCTATTCTTTGCAGTATGTTAAAATTCAATTATAATATTTTTAAATGGCATGGACTTGTGCTGGACTTGAAGTTTTTGCTATTTTTTAACTTTAATAATGTTAAAAAAATACCACTCAGAGGCACTCACCTTAAAAAATAACAGACATCACATACAAGTAGAAAAATTACTATTTTATTTGTTGCTTAATTAATCATGTGGTGCCATGTCAATGGCTCAATTACATTTATAATTTTGTCCTTAGTGCAGTTAAAAATGATGTCATTGGCAGTGATCGTGAAAAAATGCAAAGTCTACAGTATGGACTAGTTCCAAGGTAGAGAAGTTTCATTGTTTTGTTGATTTTAATAAGATTCATTATGGCTCTTTATTTTATCCTTTTATAATAGTTTTTTTTTTACTTCTATGTTTATTAAGATTTCTGCAAGTTCAATTTGTAGAGATTAAACAATGAGGTAAAATTGGCCTATAATAACATAAAGTATTCCAAATTTAAATCTACTAAACTTAAAATTCAAGCTACCTTAGGGTCCTCCAAATAAATGAGGTCATGCCGCTAGGAGGGGTTCAAGAATTCATGACAATGTATCATGGGGGTGTCAAAATTTTGTGACAGGTGGAAAGGCGGGATGGGGGGTGTAAAAATCTACCAAAATATGACGTCATTATGGATTGATGTCCCCTAGTTAAATGTTTTTTTTTCTTTTCTTTTTTTTACCCAGTTACTTTAACTTTTTTTCTAGTAAATAACAGAATTCTTGCTTCGTAGCATGTTTTTCACCGAGATGGCCTTGTAAAACCTGTCTCCATCAAGTTTTATTTGCTTTGGTTAGTGCCATAGTGAGCCTCCTTATCCCCCAAGAGAGGGGAGCTTTGGTGTTCACATTTGTTTTTTTTCTAGGTTTTAACCCCATCCCTTCTTATTCAAATATCTTATCCACTGCTGTGTTGACTAGCCTAAACATATTTCTAAATTTTAATACTTTTAGCCCATTGTTTCATGTAAGTTTGAATACTTTCCAGACTTCTTCAATGGGTGGAAGATGAGGACATAAATGCTGAGTTAAGGACAGAGGCAGCTATTGTGCTGGGCAGTTTGGCCAAAGGAAATACTAGCATTGTCATACAACTAGTGCAAGAGAAGACTGTTCCAATACTACTCAAATGTAAGACTGAAAATCTGTACTTAAATGCCCTCAACAGTTAAGCTGAATGATTTAAACACATTTTTAACAAAAACTTCAGAAGATAATGTCATTTGCTACCTGATACATGAATTTATTGTTTTTACATTTCTCTAACTATAATAGTAACTATAAGAGTAGCCAAAAATGCATACATCATTCTGTTTTGTTTGTTCTTTAAAGCCATGGTTAATTTTAATGTACTCTTATTTTTATTACAGCTCTAACAAATCTAAGTCTGCGATAGTCAGAAGCTATACTAAGATGCTTACGTTCTATTTTACTTGTCAATACAGAATCTATTTCATGTTTCTATGAGGTAAGATTAATTCAGAACTTTAGTCCACTTAAATTTTACTGATTGAATGGGGAAAAAAAACACATTGAGAGACTATTGCTTTGTTTTTCACAAAAAATTTCTATTTCAATTGATTCAATTTGATTTATATGGTAGTTGAGTTTTTTCATTCACCTCCTCTAGTTAATCTCTCTATCTGAGGTTCCCCAAACGGTGGTCTGCACAACATTAGTCAAGAAAATGGGGAGGGAAAGTTACATGTTTGAGTTTCATATTAAAAAAACTCCCAAAATTGAAATTATCCTTAGCATAAAAATATCCCGCTTTGTATATAAAAAATATCCCGCTTTGTATGCGTCAAGAATAGCCTAAGAATTTGACTGAATCCATGCGACCAAATGGGAAAACACTAGTATGCCATACTGCTAGGCTCCTTTGATGTCCAAAAAAATAGTGCAAGTACCTAACGCTTATTTTCACACAACACACCTGCATCCTGAAGGGAACACACATCTCAACCTTAACTCACTGGCTGTAAATTGAAAGATTTAGATTTTGCAAGAAAGATTATTCTTTTCAAAATTTTGCATACAGCATGATTAAAATAATAGTTAAATCCACCAGTTATTTAGACAGGGGATAGTAGAGGATGGCATTTTTTTCTTTATATGGAGGGGCAGCATTTTGGGGCAGCTGCAGAGGTCTTTTTTGAAAAAAAGGGGAAAGCAAATATCTTTTCCCACCTCTGGCGGCATTAGTACTGGCTATGCCACTGAAGTCCCATCTTGTGAAAACCTTTTGTCAAGGGAGAAATTTTTTTCTGTCTTTGACCCAAACCAAAGGTGTGCCACTGAAACGTTAAATGAGGCCTGCAAGAACTTCCAAGAACTGGATTAATATTTTTAGTAAAATGCGCAAATTGTGAATGATTATTTGTAGGAGCCTTTGAAAATTAATAATCACAGTGAATATTGTCAAACTAAAACTAATACTAATGACACATTTTAGCATATTCACTGCTTATTGGGAATTTAATCTTGAATGATTTTTTTTGAAGATCATCTTTAATATGACATATGCAAAAAGATTATCATGGGGCCCAGCAAAGAATAAAATAACTGCTATGCGGCCCTCTGGGCAAAAAGGTTGACAATTCATGACATAGACTTCAGTTTTTGTTTTTAAATAGCCCTTACAAAAACAAAACAAAAAAAACCTGCTGGCATTAAATGGTGTTAGTTGAGTCCTATTGAATTGGCTGATTACAGTTTAAAAAATATTTTACGACATAGTTAAGGTAGATATGAAGAAGTTAATTCATAAATTTTGCTCAGGTCCCTGGTGTAATCCGAAACCAGTCCACCACTCCGCCATAATTAAAGTTATGGGAAATGCTTCTCTAGCTCACTCCAGTACATTTTTCTTTCATTCACCTAATTCTCTATTTAATCTCTCTGGCTTTTTCCAATCCATTCTTATATTAAATAGATATCTTATGTAACAATCATTAGTGATGATGATGTTACTTGTAAATACATAGTTGTAGTGACAATTATCCACATTCACAAAGTACGAGGCGGAGTCCATGAATTTAGCATCCCGACCTTTTATTATATAGAAATTACACCACATGAAATACATAATACACATCTTCAAAATTTGAGGAAATTATAACTGTTATTGTCTATTTACTTCACATATGACTTTCACACATATCTATTGAATAAGTAACACGATGCCAAGAGATGTATGGCAAAGAGCCTATCTTCAAACATATGCTTCTATTTTCACTTGTCTCCTTCTCTACTTCTGCTGTGCATGACATATCTTAATTAACTTCCTGTTCCTCTTAACTCATAAAAACAATACATTATTCCGAAACAAAATTATTATCTAAATATTTGATCTGTGACATCTTTAAAAAAATATTCTTCAAGAAAATCTCCCTGATAAAGCACTTGTGTAGTCTTATGTTTCTGCTTTCCTCTATTTGACCAGGAGAATGCATATGGAAGCACTTACATTCCGCACCTGCTGAGCCTGATCAAATATTCCATTGTTTGTCAAGAATGTATCACTACCATTCTGGAAAAGTGCTGCGTGGTATGTTATATAAGTATTGCATTATCAGCAGTTGTGTTGCCCACCAATTCCAGATGGTATGCTTCCTGAACTTGATGATAGTTCACAGCAGCCTCCCACTACCACCTGTGACGTGACGTACGTTGTCTAGGGGTCGGTCCCCTCTGTACTAGCCACAGAACAATTTTACAAGGGTCTAGAACCCCTTTATTTCCAGCTCCTACAGAGCTGACTCTTGCTCCAAGTATCAACAAACAATTCAGGGTTTCAGGTTTTCTTATTTATTGGCTATGTGTGCCTATATGCCACTACACAAAACAGTTAAAGTTACACAAGTCCTCTTCCATCCGTAGAAAAACTCACTCCTTTATAAGACAAAAAAATCATACACCATATCCACAGCACTCGCCACTGCTCACTCCTTCAAAAAACTCAACTCACACACGTGGTTTTTTCAGACACAGCACACCGGTCATACCTTGACCGAGAAAAATCAAAACTCGTGGGGCACACGGGGAAAATAAACTCACCCACGATTGGTCAAATTAACATTATAGAAGTTGACACAAAAAACTCACGCGATCTGACCGTGACACGCCGCCCCTCACGAGTGACGTTTGGTGAAACCCAATGTTGCGAGTTTACAAAACAGCGGTCAGTTCGCGTGCATACTCTGGTAAACTGACATCAATTATAACATGAACAACATACCGATATTAATAAAAAAAATATCATGAAATGTCTATCTTAAAACATTCCGTTATCAACCGCTATCAATCATACTTTGAAAGTCACTACTATTGTTATGGCAATGCATTGTAGAATTAAGACATCTCTAATGAAACATACATGATAATAGATAAAATAATGATTATTCTTTATCATCTCAATATTTTCCTACAATGAAATTGAGCATTTATTTTAATACATTGTAACAAATATTTAAATGTTTACAGCACATGATTTTGAAAAATCTTAATTCAAAAATGAAAAAGTGAAGAAAACAAATGTCAACATCTGAGCATGTGTGGACAGCCATGAATTGTCCATTAAATCTTTACATACAAGACGGTGGAATGTTTCGCTTATCCCCTTGTCTTAAAAAATCATGGAGGTTATTTGATCCACCCAACTCACCTCTCTCTCTTCTCGGGTTTGACCTGCACGGTCTAGTAGGCACGAATTCACCCAACAAGTCCTTTACACCCCAAGACCGTTTTGCTTCCCCCCAAGCTGTCCCTTCTCCTTTGTAACAAATACCATCATTGATGAAAAGCAAAACAGGTGTTACATTGTTAGACGTGTCAAATTTATTCAAATCAATTTTTTCATCGTCTTGGGGCAGAAACACTTCACAGTCTCTGTGAACTGTGACATGTTCAAAAATAACTGAGTTAAACTCACGAGCAGCCAAAAACTGCGATCTCCCCTCCTCCTCAAAACATAACAACACACGTGAGCTTGACTCAGGAGTGTCGGTGAACTCTTTCGAAGGTTCACCCTGACAACATCTAGTGGACGCTGCCCTGGTCAAGGTTACGGTCTCTACTTCGTGGTTACCCAAGCTTGTCCCCCATATAATCATGACCCCTTGCTTGCATGGAAGCGGAAGGTGGTTCATGCTTGTAATCATGACCCCTTGCTTGCATGGAAGCGGAAGATGGTTCATGCTTGTGATCATGACCCCTTGCTTGCATGGAAGCGGAAGGTGGTTCATGCTTGTGATCATGACCCCTTGCTTGCATTGAAGCGGAAGGTGGTTCATGCTTGTGATCATGACCCCTTGCTTGCATGGAGGCGGAAGGTGGTTCATGCCTTCAACACCCGTGGGTGTGTTATCAAAAGCCATGAGTTTGCCATCAAAAGCCTCTGGCACCCTACAAACCTCAGTCACTCTCTCAACATCAATAAGTAAAGTATCCGTAACACTATGTTCATACACAATATTCTTATCACAAACAACTTCTCTGGGTTCATAATCAATATCACAATCAAACAAACTACAAACCTCAGTCACTCTATCAACATCATTATGTGGAACATTTGCAATACTAGGCGCACAATAAAAAATATCATTAAAATCATCTACTTTGAGTTCATAAGCCATATCACAATCAAAACCATCACTAGAAGAATCAACAACACTATGTTCATTATCAATATTTTTATCAAAATTTCTATCTGAACCAACTACACTGGGTTCATAATTAATATCCCAATCAAAACAATCATCCCAAGCATCAACAACGCTGTGCTCATAATCAATATTTTTATCAAAGTCCCCAAATGAAACATCAATACCATTAGGTTCACTACTGGTGCAAGGGCGATAGCCATCCTGCACATCATCACATTCGTCCTGTTTATCCACATTATCCAACTTATTTTCTCTTGTTTCGGTGTCTTCAAAATATTCATCAACTATACCAAACTGAACAAATTCCGATTCATCATTTTTCCTAGTATTGATACTGCCCCTTTCTACATTTGGATTTTTAGTTTCTGACAGACTTACCCAAGATTTGTTCTCTCGACACCATCTAAGCTCATTCCCACTAACTTCTACCTTAGTATATTTCCTCGGTCTATATTTCCCATAACTATTTTTTAAAGGCCCCCTCCCGCTTGATTTCTTTAAAAGCTTTCCCATCAACTTTACTTTGAGTAATGCTTGGACCCTCGTCCAAACAATTCGACGTTATGTCAAGATCTTTAGTCATGTGACTATGTTCTTCATTAGTAATTTTATATTCCTTAAAGGTGTTTAGGTCAAAAGGTTTATTAGAATTTAATTGCTCATAAATTTTTCTCACCACAGATTCTGGTGGCCTATAAGCATATATCCATCTGACACATTCTTCTCTGATTTCCCACATAGATTTCTCTTTCTGGCGTATGTCTACTCCCACTTTCAAACTGTCTTGTCCCTGTTGATCCACAATCGGTTTTACACTAAAGGCCATGTCTCCCTGTATATTGCCCTCATTTTCCTTATCATCCAGAGAAAATTGTCCCCTTTCAGTACCAGTTAGTGTACTAGCACTATACCCAGACATTTTTCTCTCATGTTCTTTGATTCTTTCTTTTTCTTCTCGCTCATATGCGCGAATTTCTTCTTCTTCTTCGCGAACCTCTTTTTCCCTAACAGCTACCCATTCTTTCGCTTCCTCCCCTTCTAATCCCAAATCTATTGCCATTTGTTTAATTTCGGCAATAGTAGGTAACGACATTTTTATCTCTAAGTCTTATGTCAATATATATGTTTACAAAAAATTTACAAATAGGAAATGGATCAAATGAAATGAGTAATAAAACAATAGAAATTGCAAATCTAATAACTAAATAATGTACTTAAAATAATTACTTGTGATGGTTCTCTTGATGGGTGGCACTGGGATTTCGGACGTATTGAGAAGTATAATCCATGTGTTCATTTGTTTTCTCGTAGGTAGATACTGTTGGAATGTCTGGTGTCTCCAATAATCCAATGTGACAAAAAGTTAAGATTGGTATAGCTGTCTGGCTAGTTTGCACGGCTTTCCTCTGGACTGGTATGGCCGTGATGATTGTTTTGACGTGCTGGTGTGGCTGGTTGGTCAGGCCCCCTCTGTGATGAATGGTAGGCTGGTTGGGTTCTTTGGACGATATGATGTTGCTTTAACGGCCTCCACTGTGGTGGATGGTCTGCTATGGTTGGTTTGGACTTAGCTGAACCTTTGAACCACGTACCAAATGATGAGCTGGCATGGTTGGATCGTGCTCCCACGGTGGCAAATTGCGGGCTTAGATGGCTGCTCCACTGTGGTGGATGGTTAAGGTTGATATGGCTGCATCGAACGGCCTCCCCTTTGGCTGATGGTAGGCTTAGATGGTTGCTTTGATGTGCCGCAACGACGGCGAATGGATGGATGATTATACTTGAAATGGCTGCTTCGACAGCCTTCTTTGTGGCTGGTGGTGGGCTGGGATTGTTGCTTTGATGTGCCTCATCGATGGCGAATGGTAGATTGGTATGGTTAATCCACTGTGGCTGGATGGTAGACTTGGATGGTTTCTTTGATTAGCCGCGACGATGGCGAATGGTTTATATGGTTAATCCACTGTGGATGGTTGGTGGACTTGGATAGGTGCTCCACTGTGGTGGATGGTTGCTCCACTGTGGTGGATGGTAGACTTGGATGATATGGCTGCTTCGACGGGCCCCCACTGTGGCGTGACGTACGTTGTCTAGGGGTCGGTCCCCTCTGTACTAGCCACAGAACAATTTTACAAGGGTCTAGAACCCCTTTATTTCCAGCTCCTACAGAGCTGACTCTTGCTCCAAGTATCAACAAACAATTCAGGGTTTCAGGTTTTCTTATTTATTGGCTATGTGTGCCTATATGCCACTACACAAAACAGTTAAAGTTACACAAGTCCTCTTCCATCCGTAGAAAAACTCACTCCTTTATAAGACAAAAAAATCATACACCATATCCACAGCACTCGCCACTGCTCACTCCTTCAAAAAACTCAACTCACACACGTGGTTTTTTTCAGACACAGCACACCGGTCATACCTTGACCGAGAAAATCAAAACTCGTGGGGCACACGGGGAAAATAAACTCACCCACGATTGGTCAAATTAACATTATAGAAGTTGACACAAAAAACTCACGCGATCTGACCGTGACACCACCCCTTACTGAAGAGATGCAATTACAAAACACACCCAGTTTATAGTGTTCTGTATAGACCACTGCTAGACAAATTGAGCATTAATTTGGTCGTCGCCTCAAGTACGAGTCGGCACACAAGGACTGAATGATGTTTCATTTTTTATGAATGAAAGTAAAATAGCAATTAAAAATTAAGTAATTGTCACAATGGTTTTTTTGCTAGGTCTGAGCCGGGCACTGACCCAGATACCCAGAAATTAGCACACCCGTCACATACCCAGACCTGAAGAGAAAAAAAACAGAACTGGGTCCAGGTGTTAAAAAATTTATCATTTTCCATAATGTGTCTACCCAATGGGTAGAAGGTATAAAAACAGTACAACTTTTTTTTTTTAACATAAATTTGTGTAAATTTTACCTGAATTGATTAAATGATAATAGAAAATATCATTATGGAAGCTAAATGAAACCACAAAGTTCACAAGATGATAATGTTCTTGCTGAAAATTTTAAAAAATTATTTATCTTAGCAAGATGCTTATCTTTGGTTAAGACTATGGCACTTTCTAATAACCATTAATGTTCCATTTCACATGCTGACTGGCTGATGATAATGAGTAGCCAACGTTTGTGTGTGTGTTGTGGATCATTTCTAAGTTCTGTCAAAATTCAATTATAGTAATTTAATTTAACAATTATTTATAAGTGGAGCTATTGGCTCAACTGAAGGAAGGCTAGGATGGTATTGCCATGATGAAGATGTAAATATTACTTTAAATAGTTAGAATACAATGGTATCAGAAAAAAGGGAAAACTGCCGCCAGGAGCACAAAGGCAAATTTAAAAGCTCTGTGTTATGGCAGTGGCTCTAAACCTGTGGGTCAAAACCTCCTCGGGGTCGCCTGACAAAATGTCAGGGGTCGCCTAAGAAACAAATGAAATTTTGGGGGATGGGGTGTGAAATGTGAATTTTTTTCTTATTTGAATTTTCATTTTTAAATTTAAATATTCTTCACAGTGATTGGGCTATTTTCTTATTGTTACTACACTCTGACCACACTACAACTGCATAAAATTAAAAAAACTTTGATTCTTTCGATAGATGTATTCTGACAATTTCCTTTTATTTAAAAAAAATTATGTATGATTTTTATTTATTTAAATTTTTCATTGTTTTATTTTTTTTTGCATGTGTAAAACCCAGACTTTGTCCCCCTGGGTATTGTCTCAAAATATTCAGACCTGGACTGGATGTAAAAAAAACTATGCCATTCTCAGCCCTAGTTTCTTCAAAGTGAGAAATAATTCATCATCATCAATGGCACTACAGCCCATGTAGGTGCCCTGGCCTGCTCCACCACATCCTTCCATTCGGAGCAATCCATGGCTTTCCGTCTCCATGTTAGAACCCCCAACTGGTGTAAATCTGTCTCCACATCATCAATCCACCTCATCCTTGGGCGACCGGTGAATCGTCTGCCCCTAGGCTTCTGCCTGTATATAATTTTGGCTGCTCTGCATTCTGGCATCCTTTCAACATGACCAGCACAGCGTATTCTGCGTTTTTTTATCATTGTGACTATGGGTGGTTCTTTGTACGAATAGTAAAGTTCTTGGTTTGTACTTATTATCCAGATATTATTTTCTATCACTGGTCCGTTTATTTTGCGGAGGATTTTCCTCTCCCTTGTGTTGAGCAGGTTCTCTGCTTTTCTGGTGAGGGTCCAGGTCTCACTAGCATACGTGTTACTACAGGTCTTATGATGGTGGTGTATATTGTCTTCTTTGTTCCCCTTGATAGGTTTTTTTTTACCAGTAGCTTTTGTAGACTGAAATAGAAACGGTTGCCTGCTGTTATCCTTTCTTTCACCTCTGACATTATCTCATTGTGCTCATTTATAGTTGCCCCTAGATATTTGAATGTGGCCACTCTCTCAAATTTGTGGTTGTTAGAAATGAATTCAAACTGCATTAAAAAAAAAAAATTTTTATTTAAACCTGGGGCTTTGTGTATGAGCTTAACTTTGAGAAACAATAGAATTTTTACAAACATGGTACAAAATGACTTTTCTTGTTATGGTCTGTTAACATGCTCAAGTGGTAAACAAATTGACTTTTCTTGTTATGGTCTGTTAACATGCTCAAGTGGTAAAGAAAATTACTTTTCTTGTTATGGTCTGTTCACATGCTCAAGTGGTAAACAAAATTACTTTTCTTGTTATGGTCTGTTAACATGCTCAAGTGGTAAACAAATTGACTTTTCTTTTTATGGTCTGTTAACATGCTCAAGTGGTAAACAAAATTACTTTTCTTGTTATGGTCTGTTAACATGCTCAAGTGGTACAAAAAAAACAATGATGAAAATATTTGTGTTTGTTCCTGGGTTTGAGAAACACAAGTTGAATGCAGACCTCATCGAATCTTAGACCTCATCGAATCTTCCTTAACCCTGACTGTTTGGCTCTTTATTATGACCCTTTCTTGCAAAACTAAGTGGAGGTTTTTTGTAATATGAATAAGTTAGAGAAAACTAGAGATTGAATGACTATGTGTTGATTATTATTTTTTTTTTCCAGACTAAAGAGCACCAGATGTATTTGTTGGAGAGCAACACATTGGATATTTTCTCTCCTCTCCTCCTCTCAGAGTGCTACAAAGTGCAGATGCCAACACTGAGATGCTTTGCCAACATGTGTTACAAAAATACAGCTGTCCGTACAGCTATCGTAGCAGGTAAGCAAAGAGTCAAGTTAACGTTTTACACAATTATAGCCGTCTATCAGTCCTGTTGTAGCTGTCTTCACAGGAAGAACAATAGATTCAAGAGTAGTTTGCATGTTGCTTGCTGTATTGAAATTTAAATTTTAAAATACTAACGATACTTGCAATACTATTGATATTTACAGTACTATTGATGTCTTTCCAATATATGCCCATGTTTAGTTTGTTGTTAAAAAAAAAAACCCTACATAATAAAATTCCTTTATATTTTTAAATCATAAAAAGTTTGTCAAGCAACTCTACAAATGAATTCATATTGGACAGATAGGGTTGGCAGTCTGTCAGATGGTCGGCTAACTGAAGCTAAACGCTCAACATATACAAATTCATTTAATTTAAAATTCAAGCAAAATTGTGATAACAAAATGAAACAATTAGGTCACTGCCAAAAGAAAAATGTTTTCTCCGACTGCTGTACCTGGAAAGGTTGCCAACCGCTCCTGTAAGAGGCTTTGTCCTCATTGTTAAGTCATATTTCAATTTATGTCTGCGTTGATTAGTCCATTATTTTATTTCAGTTCCTGATTTAGTCCCAGTCTTTGTGGAGTTGATGGGTCGAGACAAACCTTCGGAGATGCAGCTGGCGGCAGCCAAAGTCCTGACCTACCTGCATCGTGGTGGGGCAATATTTTGTTATAAGCAGAAAGGTATTGACATGGGTAAAAAAGCATTGACAGAGGTGCATTTTTCATAGAATGCATTTTAAAAGACTTGCTGTAAACTTAAATGTGCTTAAAGTTTTTGTCAGCTTTGCCACTGCATCCATTTTTATTCAAATAATTTTCAATACCATGTGCATAATGTTGGCACATTTGCATAACGTTGGCACATTTCCATAATGTTGGCACATTTGAGGTATTTGTTCCAGTGTTACATGTTATTTGGCAATGTGTACAGTTGAAATACTGTGTGCTCAACTGAGTCAATCCCAAGTTTGTGGACTGGAGTGCAGCAATCCCCCAGCAAAAGTACAGACAAGCGAAAACAACACCAGCAATCTGGGTGGACAGGACTCGTTAACCTTGGATGGCAACACATCTAAGAGAAGGCAAAGTCTGAAATCAGACCCTGAGATGGAGTCCATTTGGCGGTATCACATTGACACAATGAAAATTCCGACAACTCCTGCGATGTGGAACGCATAAAGAGCACAGTGAAACACGAACAATCAATGCTCCATTTTTTCCTTGAATTTACCGTAGCAACATTAGCTGTGAATGGAAATCAATAATAGTTTTTTAATTAAATAGAACAAAATGCTAGTTAATGTTAAAACCTTGAGGTTTAAACTTAAGTCTGTGGGTCCCAAGCAAAAGTTGCATGGTTCTTTGCAGCAGTCATTTGTTCCGTTGTTGCTCATGAACATGATTTAGATGGTTGTCGAGTATGAGCATTCAGTAGTAATTGTTGCGACTTAATATTATGTTCATTAGTTGTTGAATGCTTTTCCCGCGCTTGATTTTTATAGTTATTGAACGCTCTTCCCGCCATTGTCTCTATGACGTATGTTTTAGTCGTGCCGCAGTCTTGAGTGGAACTTTGGAGTGGTAGGATGTGTATTATTTATCTCTGATAGCGAGCTGCACTATATTCACGTGTTATGTGTATAATATTTACTCAGACATTAAATTTATAATTATTATATAAAAAGGAGTTGAGTTCATTCAGTGATAGTAGGAATAGTACGACGCATTCAACGTGTGAAGAGAACTTGACGAATGTAATCAATCCAAGAAGACTGTAGGTGTTGACAATAGTCACTCCTGGTCTATATTTTGTCAGATTCCTTTTGACAGCATTTAACACCATTTAGTCCAACATATTTCATTGACAAATCTTCAAAACCCTATACCTTTGTGCAATCCATTTTTTTCATTTTTTGTAGACATTGGGAACCCTGGTTCGGATGTGTAAAAGAGATCGGCCACTAGACGAAAATGTCAAAGGAGCAGAGACTCTGGCACACCTTGTGGAAGTTGACCCTGACCTTCAAATTATCGCCAGCATCACAGACCATCTGATCAGCACACTCTCCAACTACCTGCACTACAAAGATGTCAAGAAAATTTCTTCTGTGGACAAAAAAGTCAGTGACTCTCAATATTTTGATTTTATTTTCATAACTTTAATATGCTATTGTAATCAAATTAATTGATTCACTATGTTTAGTCAGATATGCACAATTCAACTAACATTAGCGGCCATTAGTTAAAAATATTTCAAACATCTATTTATGTTATTTAATAAAAAATTGTATTTTCCAATATGAAGAAATATATCCTAGTAATATGAGAAGTCCAATGGCTTTTTTACTATTTTTACTATCACACATTAAAACAGAACTATCGATAGCCAAGAATAATAGTGTCTGGGAAAACAGCCACTTTGTTAGAAGGGTAGATTAATAAGACACGAACAAATTGTGTCAATATAACAGTATAAGTTACTCTTTAATAATAATTATACATTATACACAAGTAAACGTTTCGGCACATGCCTTCATCAGTATAAACAGAAAAAAATAGGAGAGGGAGCTAAAACCAGACAAAATTAATCTATTTTAAAGTTTTATTGCAGTCCAACACTTTTTATAATGTTAGAGGGGTCCAGAGTTGAACATCACCTATGCCATTAGCTTAAGACTGTCATTATTTCTTATCTTTAACAGTAGTTAGAGGATTTTTATGGATAATACTTAATTAGCATCAATTGATTTGTACTGGAATTTTTTTTACTGCAGGAAGTGGACTGGGGCAGTGAGATGAGAAGGGCTGCATTTTTAGCTTTGGCCGCCATCAGTGCCAACGATGAGGAGATTAGAGATAAGGTAAGTTTGTGTTGATACAAAAATATCACTATATAAATAAGTTAGGTTGGTGTTGTTACAAAAATGTCAAATTAGAGATGAGGTAGGTTGGTGCTGTAACAAAAATATCAAATTAGAGATAATGCAGGTTGGTGCTGTAACAATAATATCAAATTAGAGACGAGGTAGGATTGTTGTAGTAACAAAATATCACCATAGAGATAAAATAAGTCAGTTTTCTTAAAAATCCATACAAATAATGTTGTTTTTTGAAAGTTCAAATAAGTATTCTGCGTAAAAGATGTATTATTTTATGAAAATGGAATAGATTTGTTTTGTTGTTTGGTCATATATATATATAGAGAGAGAAATAGAGGAGAGAGAGAGAGTATGAAATTAATATATATTTAAGTCTTTAACTTGGTAAAAAAAAAGAAAAAAAATAATTAAGGAAATATCTGATTGAACTATTTGGAACTATTTATAAAATAGCTGTTTAATAAAGCAGGTGATTTTTTTTTTTTTTAAATGGGCTTTGATAACACAATGTTAATCTAGAGGAAAAAGTAAGATAAATTGATTTTAATAAATTCACTTGAGAATTTTGCATCTATTGGGTAATTAAGATTGTTTTCTTTTGTGCTACTGACATGTGCAGGTTATCAAGAGAGAGGGTATGATAGATCAAATCATGACTTGCATGCTCAGCTCCAACCAAGCTGAGGTGGCAGCTAGCTTGAGATGTCTTCAGTCCCTGACACGATCTGTACACCAGATCAGGACGGTACTTCATGATAATGCAGTCTGGAAACCTTTGCTTGGGGTAAGACATATGATCTGTTTGACACATTCAGTCCCTGTCACAATACTCCATGACCATTGTGACCAGAAACTTGTGCTGAGGCTGTAATATAATATATTGTCACATGTAACCCTGAGACAGTCAGTACATCGATCCTTTTCAGAATCACTAAGTTTAATTTTAAATTTATAATCTCCATATTCCATATTTATATTTGATGGTTTCATTTCACATTGAAGAGTACTGTTTTAAAAAATTGTTTGATGGAAAATGTATCACCCATGTGTGAAAAAAAAAGAAAATACACCTGCTTGACAACATTCCCATAAAATGTTAATTTTTTGGTATGATTAAAGCATAAATTAATATTTTATGACTTAAATCTGGATATTCAAAATGAAAAAGTTTAATGATGTTTTATATTACTGAATAAATTCCTGTGACAAGACCAGCTTTTATTTTATGCTGATCATTGTAAATGTACCAGCCCTTGTTTTTGTGTGTGTGCAGATGCTGCAGTCGACCAACCATGAGATTATGGTGTTAGCCATGACCTGCTTGTGCAATTTGGTTCTGGAGTTTAGTCCAAGTAAAGAGGTAGGTGCTGTATAGTGCCGTGAAAAAATAATAACGTGTCCAGGCTAAAACCTTGTTTGAAATTAACACATTTGCATTTTTGTTAATATAACAAACACATTTTTTTCATTAGCGTCTTGATTTTTACAGAGAACCTTTGAGATTAAAATGAGNTATATATATATATATATATATATATATATATATATATATATTTATTTATATATATATTTATATATATATATATTTATATATATATATTATATATATAGATAGACACTGATTATTACTGTGTGTAATTGCAAACATAATGGGCAGACAACTGTGCTTTGATAAATATTTGCTAGTGTTACCAAACCCTGATTTCTGTAAGAATGATCTAATGTACTTCTACCACTACTACTACTACTACTACTGACTGAGATAGCACCGCTGAATGTCTTGTTGATACCCATTCTTGTTGTGATAAGCTTGCGCCAAACCCTAAACCTTGTGCTTTTACCAAGTTTTTCTGCTCAACACTAAATAGAGTTGTCTTCAGGCTACTGTCCCACATATTTGCTTAGGCAGCTAATATTTTGCCGTTTATCATTTTTCTTTTCAAGTTATGTGGATATTTTTTTATTGAAAAAAAAATTACATTGGTTACAGACATGAAAATTTACAGTAATTCAAAAACATAATGTAATTAAACACGATTCTTTGAACCAGCATAAGATACATTTGCTTTTTGTTTTGTAGAAATAGAAAAGATGAATTTGCTGCTCAATTTTTAAAGGTTAATTTAAATTGAATATAGCTTTTATTTTAAACATTCAGTTATTGTTACGTTGTAATTAAAATACAGAACAATAGACAATACAGTTTTAAAGGATTTTAAAAAAACAAAACAGTTTCAATAAGAATTAAAAAATAATAAAACTATTCAGTATGCTTAACAATATTTTTGAACACTAAATATTGGCAAATTCTATGGTAATTAATCCAAATATTGGGGCTCACTGCATATCCAATATTAGATGCAGTCGTTCTCAAGCTGGTGTCCATGTATCCTTTAGCACTGGCTTATATAATTCTTGAAGTTTAATTATTTTTTACCCCATAAGATTACTGTTACCTCCAGTAGGCTACTGTAAGAGCTGCCTCCATGAAGGTCACTTTTACATAGTTTGGGTTAAATCTGCAAGCTGTATTGGGTTACCGCCAATAAGATTGTTTCTTGGCGTGGCTTACCTCCAGTGAGGTAACGTCTTTGTGTGAGTTACCTCAAGTTAAGTTACTGCTACAGTACCTGGTTTGTGTTACCTCCACTAAGGTTACTTTTTACCTGGTTTTGGATACCTCTGCTACCTATTTTTGTTTGTTTGCTTGGCTTCACTCTTGTTCTCATAATTTACATTTAGCTTCCACCGGAAAGACGATGGGACGACATGGATGGGTGGCGGGTACGTAGAGTTTTTTGTTTTTTTTTAGAAACTTTGACAGCATTTTATGGGCAAAGGAAATCACAGGGCTTAAGGGATAGTTGCAGTGAAATGAAATTTTAAATTTCTTTTGTCTTGTTTTCATTCTCATGGGTTCTTTACTGTTGTAATTAATAGACCCTAACAAATAAAATACAAGTTTCTTCGGAGACTGCCATTTCATTTAATAAAATGATTCCTGCTGTACAACTGAGCCTGTAATCAATTAATTTGGATTTTTTTTTGTATCCGGATACTGCATACTCCACTGGCATGTAACTTTTCCCAGTGTGATCTTGGCTATAATATTGACTTTAAATGCGATGCATAATCTGACAACTCTTTCAAGAGTTGCCATGAACCAAAAGGTTATTTGGCATTCCTGCTCACAATGTCATAATGCAAACGTGGATAGTTTTTCTTTTTCACTGTTAAACTCTCAATGGACCAAGCAGCAGAACATAATTTATTTGGTGACAGTGAAGGCAATAACACTAACACAATACAACTTTTAGAAATGAACCAAAGGGTTGCTTATGAACAAAATGGTCGCTCTTAACTTTAACCAAATGATGGCTCATAAACCAAAATGGTTGCTTATCAACCAAATGATTGCCTTTAAACCAAATGGTTTGCTTATGAACCAACTAGCAGAATATGAACCAACAATGAGTCTAAGGCTTTTGTTCAAACTTGGGAGGAAGTAAAGTCAGTAAAAGTATTAAGTTTGATGAATGACTCATGTGAATGTGAACTTATGATTAAAAAAAAAAGTGTTGGATGAATATGGCGTAGGTTGGAAATACAGTGAAGCCCCTTTGATAACTGCAGCATTTGACCACCATTCTGCTTGCTTCTTAAAATCTTCTTTTGGATTCAGACCTTAATATTTAAATGGCAAAGTTTGGAAAAAAAAAAAAATATATATATTTTTCACAATTTTCTTGGTGGGGAGGAATTATTGTTTATATTTATGTGCTGGTTTGTTTTTATTGTTGTAGTCAATGTGAATAATCTGTTTATGTCTTTCTTTTGTTATTTTAAAAAAAAAATTTCGAATAATATTTAGATTTGTTTCTTAATAATAATTTTAAAAAAAAACAATGTGAGACATATAGTAAAAAAAAAAATTAAACATTAATAATAAATTTATGGTAAATAATGCTAATGGGTTTCCAATGAGCTGCAAAAATTAATTTTCCTGTCCAAAGTATCTGTAGAAAATTCACATTACTTGATTTACTTGCCAACAAATTTACAGAATTTATGTAAAGTAAATTATCAAAAACTTCTTGCATTAAATTATCGATGTCAATGATAGATTATCATTATTCAGTTGTTTTTTTTTTACTAAGGTCAGGGTATAAAGAATTAACTATAATTTTGTAGCTGTGTTATACTGTCTAACTATTTTATGCTTGGATACTTTGTTATACCTAGTAACGGAATTGTTTCTTTGTAGTCTTTCACAAAACCTTCAACAAGTCAATTAAAAAAAAAAAAGTTATACTCAAAATAATTTGACTTTGCATTTCTGGATCTGTACAGTAACAATTTTGTGAATGTTATTATTTTAATATACAGCTTATGCCATGGTGTTGATGATTTCTAGTAAGCTAACATTACTCTGAAACAGCAGTCTTTTGGACCAGTTGTGGCTTAAGTGGACTATAGGCAACATAATTAATATAATTAAAGTATCCTAGTGTTGCTACCTAAAAAATTAAATGTCATTTGCTGTAAGTGCACTTAAGTACCAGGTATTTAAAAAAAAAGTCTTACATTTTGTTCTCTTAAAAAATACTAATCCACATAACTTATTTAGAAGACCTTACTCTTTGTTACAAGTAGCCATACTCTCAGTTATTGTTGATGTTCTCATTGTGTTGGAAGGTACCTTATCAGACTAAGGCTTCTGTGTTGTACTCTTGACTGTTGTACACTATGTGACAAATGGTTAACATCCTGTACCTTGTAAGCTGACCCCACTGAAAACTTTGCTCATATGGTGTACCATGTCAAATTTCATTGCTGAATTTTTACCTTGCAAGTTAAATAGATTACCAAGAGAGTTAAATTGTCTATCAGTAAATTTAAATAGTTTACCAATTAAGTCAAATAGTTTATTGATAAAGTTAAATAGTTTACCAATAAAGTTAAATAGTTTACCAATAAAGTTAAATAGATTACCAACAAAGTTAAATAGTTTACCAATAAAGTTAAATAGTTTACCAATAAGTTAAATAGTTTAAGGTCAAACCATAAATAAAAAAAAAAAAAGAAAAGGAACACACAGAGTGTGGGGGTAGTTATAAATAGAATACCAACAAAGTTAAATAGTTTAACAATAAAGTTAAATAGTTTACCAATAAGTTAAAAAGTTTAAGGTCAAACCATAAATAAAAAAAAAAAAAAAAAGGAACACACAGAGTGTGGGGGTAGTTGAGTTTGGAGATTTAGCGGATGGGTGCTTAGGGGAGGTGGGGTCGTCTTCAGTAGAAAGTATGTACTTTCATGAACAAATGATACAATAATTATCCTGAAATTCTGAATTCATCAACAACACATATTTTATCTCTAATAAATCAATCGATGACCTCAAGATCTATGAAACTTCATGATTTCTATTGAATTACATTCAAAGGCTAGACAAATATCAGATCAATATTTTTTGTAATTATCATTATTGGGTTACTTTGTTTATTTTACAAGTCAACTCACTGGATAATACACTAGTAACAGTAATATTTTGTCCACCATTCCCCTTTTGTATTTTTCAGTGCTTGTGGCGCTAATGCTTTTTTTTCAGTGAAGCCTGTGGTACCTAAATATTTCGGTTCTCTGCGCACTTGCCAAATTAAGTTTTCCTCAGATGCTCCTAGTCAAATTCTAACAAATGCATTTCGAAATAACCAAGACATTTTTTTTAACTTTAAGGGTTGTTAAAAATAAATAAAACATGTACCTGGGCAATTGAACCCAATATAGAAGCTATGTGAAGAAGCTTCAACAGACAGTAACTAGTCCACCAGGTCCACTAGATGTTGTGTCCTGTCTCATTAGATTCAAACTGGAAATAGATCTATGAAAACTGTAATATTTTTCTGAGAGCAAGCCGTGGGGCTCTCGGGTACCCTGGTGCACATTTTTGCGAACCACTGGCTACACAGACACATTTTTCAACAAGGATAAAAATGACATAAAAATTTATAAATAACAATAAATGGGAGGGGTGGGCGAGAAGCTCATTTTTATGTATGCAGAGAGAGGATTTTATAAAAAAAATTACGGGTGCAACGTGGGGGGGGGGGGTTCCCCCCTTCTTTGTAGTGTAAACAATATATGGATAGAGAGTTTAATAGCTCACCAAGACAGTTTAATAGTTTACAATAATGTTTAATCGTTTGCTTATAGAGTTTAATTGTTTCCCTTGAGAGAAAAGTTTACTTTGTTGTGTGTACTGTGGTTGATTTAGAAAAAAAATTATGACAGCTATGGAAGATAAGGTGGCGGTGATACAGATGTTAGGCTGCTCTAGATGTTAGTCTTTTCTACATATTGTGGTTTCCTAGATGTCGAGGGTTGCCTCATCAAAATGCCACTCTCTCCAATACTTGTAACTTCATGTTTAAACTGTTAGGATGATGCTGTGGGGAGTTTGATCCACCCTCTTTAATTTATATCCGCCATTTACCATACTTGAATGTTGTGCCATAGCTAGCATGAGGATAGTGGGGTGTTTCAATGTCTCAATATTCCTCTGCGGGCCATGTTTTCATCCCTTGTTTTGTTGTGTCCACAGTCTTTACTCCAAGGTGCTGCTGTTGATCTGCTGGGAGAATACTGCCAGGGCCCAGGCAACACAGACTCAATGCTATTTGGCCTATAATGGCAAGTTAATAACCATCCAGATAACATCATCACACTTGACGTAAAAATCATAAGTTGATAATAACTTAGTGCTGTCCTTTTAAAATTGATTACCGTTAATTATGTTCCAGCAAGTCATATTTACATAAAAGACAGATAGAGGCCTTTAAAAAAAAATTTTTTTAAACCACCCACATTTGCATCATCATCCGGCATCACCCCCTAAAGTCTCAATGCCTTACCAAGCCATCACTTGGTCTCTCATTCATATGAAATGTCTTCACAGTCATTAACCTACTGCTCGGCGGAGAGCTTACAAACAAGGGTGATAGAGACAATGAGAAGTGATTGCTTCATCAAGAGGATTGAGGACCCTGTCATGATCATTAGGCAGAAAGCTTTGGCTGTTCTTAGAAATCTCTTGACCTCGGTGAGTGGAGCATTTAAGTTTTAAATTATTCAGGGCACACAGTCTATATAAAGGATGATAAGTGGACAAGACGGGGGGGGAACTCTGCGGAAGAAAATGATGATGAAAAAATTGAGATTTTCAAATAAAACATGGCGGTGCTTTATTATTAAATTAAATTTCTGTCTGCCCTCTTTCTCAAATTTGTTTTTTTTCACTTACCAGGAATTCTGCCAGCATTTAGTGATTTGCTTGACTTTTATTTTACATGGGGAACTCTTAGATAATATCTTAATGACTAAGATGAGCAGTAAGAAATCTAAGCACATTGAGAGTGACTATGGCAATGCATAAAAAAATTGAATAGTCCCATCAAATGATTCACACACAGTTTCATTAAAACTTTAATTAATGAACACACTTTTTGTTTTTAAAAAATGTGTATACATAGTTATCCAATATAAAGTTCCTATTATAATGTTGTCAGTGATGATGTCCAATATTTTGTAGGTCCATGATGGTGAGGACAGAGACTCTGTGGCCACAAGGTCTCGAGGAGAACGTCGTCCAGGAGATAAAACAGTAAGCCAGAGTTGATATGAAATAAATACATTTTTTATTGTTGTTTTTTTTATTCACTTTCAATATTTCTGTCCCTTTGGGGTATGTCCTATTTCGTTTTTAACTTGAATCTAGTATGTTGAGGAGGGCTCATTAAAGCAGACCCAATAATAAAAATGTAAAAAAAAATGAATACTTTTAATCTGAATAATTTCTTTCAATTCACGGTTTCATTATCCAATCCATATTTATTTAGCCAAACCATGACTACCAGAAATGACATGAAAGAAGATGTGATATGCACCAACCCATTGAGCTCTTTTCTCTCAGAAAATAAACAGTGGCTGAACCCCTCTGAAAAAAATAACTTCATAATGAATATTAGGAGCAAAACTTTGGTTTCTTGTGATTAAATATAAAGCAACTGAATGTACAAAAGCACAGAAGTAGTAGTATTAAAAATGTATTTGTTCATTTATTTTCATCATCATTCGGATTCAGTAGCCATTTGGGCATGTCCCCTTCGGCCATGGTGAAGAATGTACACACTCTCCACAGCCGTTGTCTGTTTGTACATAGGGTGTTGGCGTGGTCCATTTCAATTGAGATATATATTACTATTGAATGAGCAATAAATCACATGTGACTTCTTTACAATTGACTCAAATATATAAAAAAAAAATATAAATATTATTAAAAAATATTCACTTTGTATAAAATAATTATACACACTGCCCGATATTTTCCTTTTTTTTTTGTTTTTTTTTTGTAGGATCATTGATAGTCTAGATTTGTAAACTCAAAGTATATTTATATTTTTAAATTATATTTCCATATTTTCTTGTGATTTCATTTTGAGTGAGAGATTGGTGAACTCATTGTTGAATATATTGTCATTCTCTTTTGTAAGATCATTGATAGAATGGTGAAGGCTCCAGGCAGTGAAGTCATTGATGCTGTGTTCAGGACAGTGAGGAACCCAAGTCTCCCAGTATATGTGGAGAGCAGGTGAGTTTTTAATGGTGCTGAGTTGGGGGAGAGGGGGGAGGGCGTTCATTCTCTTTGATAACCTACCAAAATTACTTAGATATTTTTTATTTTTGTGAGAAGAGTATGAGAGTTTGTTTACTGTTTTGTCTCACTCCAAACCTTACTATGAAACCATGCACCGCAACCTTTGTTCCCTTGCGGCACACCGAGACCATTTCCACACCACATTCAAAACATGAGGAAAAAAAATTGATTTTCTGTTGTATACAACTTACAATAATTTTGAATATGCTTTCATTTTTATAGATGTGAAATAAACATAGAGTTATCAAGTCCTCTTTTTTTTCAATTAAAGTAATAGGAGCCAGAATGATCAATTCATTGATCGTGGGCCCTTAAAATAAAGAAGAAGAAGATGTCCTTCATCAACCTTAAAATGCCCTAATTTTTTTAAATGTTTGTTCATTGTAAAAAATATAAGTATTGTTTCAACTTTCACAGATACACTAGTTCAGTGCTGTCCAACCTTTTTGACTCTGGGGGCCAATTTTTGTATGTGAATCTGAGGGTCGCATATAAAATTATTATTTTTTCTCGTCTGACATTCTTGCAACGTGGCCCATCCAGCAAAGCTGGGACTCCATTAATAAAGTGTGTGTGCAGGAGAGACCTACTTGCGCGAGTACCTCAGTGTCTGGGCTCTTGTCCTACCATTTGATTTTGAGGATTTTCACAGGCTCATTGTGTAGAAAGTGGTTTAATTTCTTTCACATGCCGATTTTCAGACGCTCATCATGTGAAGTGGTTTAGTTTCCTTCCATGGCTTTGATAGACTGTCCATGTTTCACATGCATATAGTAGTAGCAGTGGGAGAATGGCAGCCTTGTAAACCTTTATTTTGGTTTGGGTGGTGATGCCTCTTCTTTGTCCATACATTCTTAGGCATCTTTATGAATGTTGCCCAGGCACTTGCAGTTTGAAGGGTTAAGCTTTTGGACAGTGTGCTGCCAAGGTAAGAGAAGCTGTTTACAACTTTAAGCCTTTCGCCATTGACTTGGATGTTGGGCTCAATGTAAGGTTTTCATGGAGCTGGTTGATACAGGACCTCAAGTTTTCTTTGAGTTAATGGTAAAACCAAAGTTTGTAACACTGCGTTGCATCTTAGCCTCTAATTCAGCACAAATGTCGCAGTCATCGGCATACAGAAAGTCCCTGATAAGGTCTGTCTGGACCTTTGATTTAGCGTTTGGTCTCCTGAGGTTAAATACTTTACCATCAGTTCTGTATCTGATGCTGAATCCAATTTCTCCCTTGCAGATAGCTTCAGACAGTTTGGCAGAAAACATGCTGAAAAGTGTTGGTGCCAGGAAGCAACCTTGTTTAACAACATTAGACACAGGGAATGGTGACATCTTTCTGTTTGAGAGATCTCATCTTGTTAGCTCTTGTCTTATTATTATCATAAAGCCTAGCTCACATATCTAGTTCATCTTTTACAGTCCAGTTGGTGTGCATGGACTTTTTTTATGGTGACCAACTAGCTACACATCAAGTTACCATACTTGAAGTTTCCAAATTCATCTTTCCGTTAATAACACTGTTAGTACTTATACCCTTCCACCAAGAACCCCCACACCCCTTTTTTTTTTTTAAAAAGCCGGTCAAAGCAGCAGAAAGGAAACCCCCTTTTCAGACCTTTCCAAAATGATATGTTCTAATTTATTATTTTTGCATCTGGCAACCTGAAATTAACATGCCCCTGTAGATATTTTATTACAAGTAATAGTTTTCAATATTTAAGTTTAACTGTGAGTAAACATAGAACAGAATGTAAAGAAACTATTTTTTTATAAAATGGCCTTTCACTATCTTGATATTTTTTTCACACACCTGCTTGTATCCAGTTGAGATTGATAATTTTATAATTATTTTTAAAAAATCTTTATTTATACAGAGTTAACACAAATTCTTACACAACTTAAAAGCCTTTTTGTACAAATGAAATCAGCGACCACAAACTTAACTTACTAATGACATTTGTATGTAAATTTACCATATTTATTTCAATGTTAAAAGCAAAGTAAAAAAATAAAACAATAGTAATATTTAAACAAAAGTCATGTCCCATGATCAGCAGGAGTTTGACTATGTCAAATCAGATAAAAGATCTTCGGTACCATCAACCTGGATAGGATGGGGCTCATTTTGTTTTTATTTTTTTTTACCCAGAAAGCGTTAAGAACTTTTAAATAACCAGCTATTGAAATCTGGCCAAAAAATTAAACAGCACATGTGTCAAAGGCTAAAGCGACAAAGACATATTTTACTGGTTGCTTCGGACACTTTGAGATGGTGTGTGCTGGTTGACTTCCACTGTTTAAATAGAAAATTCATGCCCTTGGAGGAATTTTGCCAGGGCGCAATTAGCAAAGTCCCGCTGCGCACCAGTTTGCGGAACTCTATTGAAGACTACCTCTCTTTCAACTCAATGAAACCTGGACGTGTTTTTTAACCACTTGTATCCAATTAATGTTGTTCTCATCTCTTGTGTAGGCATTGTGTGTCCTGAGTAACATGGCTGATGGCCCATCATGTAAAGCTCACATCATTGGCAAGACAGAAGATCTGCAGTATGTCATCAAATACCTGGTAAGAATTGTTGCATCACATAAATTAACACAACAGAGACTTGAGTCTTTCTATGGCCACGCAGATTGGCAGCAAAAGGTTGATGTGAAAGTAAAGCACAATTCATCTTACATACCTTTTGGATAGTCAGTAGTGCTCCTCATATCATCAGATAACTAGTGCAGATCATGTTGAACGTTTATTCACAATTTAATGCAAATATGACTTTTAGCTCTGCAGCATCTAATTATTCCAATGTTTGATATCAACTCGAGTTTACATTATTTTATTAAAATAATCACCAATTATTTTGTGATTTCATTTGCAATTCTCTATTTGGAATTACTTAATTGAGAAAGGTTGTTTTTATTAAACATCATACAGTATGTGCCAAAATTAAGAGAACCATACTGAAATTCCATCATCTTGAACATGTACACTCATTGGCCAACGGAGCATAGATATAGTCTCCATGTGTTCCCAGAACTGAAAAGGAAGGTAAGTTGGGCAGTAGTTGTTGGAAATTGGTCTCTCAAATGAGGAAAAAATATTCATAGTTGAGTTATGATCTTTGCTCATACATTAGTGATTAACGAGATGGGAAACCGTGAGCTTGTTTGAAGAAATATGGCAGAAATTTTCTCAGAGAGATACAATAAGGCGAAACCAAGTAAAACAATAGTGCTTTTATTGTTACAAAATTGTGCAGTTCTGGTAGTATACTGTATAAATGGAAGGGGGTGTCTGGTCGACCAGTAGGTGTTTTGATAAATGAGAATCGATCAAGGCGCTGCATTTTTCCCCACGACAAACATCAGCGATACACCCAATAAAAAAAATTTGTTTAGACCTAAATGCATTTTCATATTGGATCCATGTTGGACAATGCTTGGCAGAGCGAGGTTTGCAAGCCAGGACGATGTATTGTGTAAAATGTGTGCCTAGGGTGTGTCAGGTTTCATATTTATATGGGAATATTTTGTTTTCCAAAGAAATTCACATATGCTTACTGGTCTATCAGACTTTCCCTTCTGTTGACAGAGCCGTTGACAGTGTAAATTTCCAGAAAAGTGTTTCTTTAAATCTCTCTCAGGGAATTGTTCTTACACTTTTTTGAAACAACGTTCACATCTTTATGCATGGGGAAGGTAATACTCAACTAATAATAGCAAGAGACCCCTTTCTGACAACAAATGCCCAACATGTCTTCCATTTCACTTCTAGGAGCACGCTGCAGCTTTAGCTATGCACCATGGACAGACAGCATGTATGCGTTCGATGCGCAAGAGTTTCAGTACTGTTACTCTTACTTCTGGCACTTGCTGTGTAACTGCATTTTATTTTAGGATTCTGATGTCTACCCTGACCAACAGCGTGGCATCACTCTTAAGCTTCCTGTTGTCCAGTTCATCACAAATTTAGCAGAGTCGTCAGAAGATGGTAATACATTTGAATGTCTTGCTTTGTTTCAGTGGACCGTTGAACAAATCGAACTGAAATAGTGTTTTTTTCCTAAAAATAACTATAATATATGTTCTTAAAATTTACTTTGATGACGTGAGGGGTAAGCAGTAAATGAAGGCATGGAAATTTAGTTTAAAAATTATGTTCATACAAATGATAATACAAATACATTTTGGGTATTTATTGAAATTTTGCTAGATAATTCATATATCAGTATATTTATGTTATCTGCATTCAAATAATTCAATATGTGACAGATGTATTGGGGCAAAAATTTTACTTGACAGGTCAATAAATTTCTGTCCTGTGCTGTTCTTTTTTTTTTGTGTGCAAATATTGATAAGGGTTTATATTGTCACCTATATTTGGGCAAAGAGCTGGTCATTAGCCCTGATTAGAGTCTGCATGTTTTCCTCATGCAGGTGCCTACCAGCGCATGTTAGTCCTGAAGAATCTTGGCGTCCAGCGAATCTTGGAAGACTTATTGGCCAAATGTGAAAAATCAGATGCAAGGTTTGTACGATTCATTCAAATTATTGAAACGTTGGCAGTTTCCCTATTGTTATCCTGCAACATGTATGATATTGCCAATAACCCTAGGCTTCTACTGTGGCTAAGTAGCGGAGTGTTCTGAACTTGATGCTATTTGATAGTATCACCTTCAACAACTTTTTAAATTGATAGTTTAAATAAAACTCCTGCTCCACCGTTGTGCTATTTCCAAATGGTATAATAAAGGTGCAGTGACCCTGTTACGTTTTAATTTTTAATGAATATAATGAGTACGAAAAACTAAAGCAAACAAATTTTGATGTGAAACAAAAAAAGTTGAAATATTGTATGAAAAAATAACTGACATACCAGACAATTTAATTAAATTCACCAGGAATAAAATTCATTTACAGCTATATCTCTCTGCAGACATTTCATAAAAAATTAACATTTTCAGAAAATCAACTTCTTAAACAAGTCCTTTTAAAATAATAAAATAAAATTAATAGACATGACTCCCTTTTCACTTTAGCATGTGTTTTGTTGACTAGAAAAAGCACAGGTAAACGTGGCAGTGACAAGTCATTTTTTGTAAAAATCACTTTTTGGAAAACTTTTTTTTTTTTTAAAAAAGAAAGCAAATTCTGTATTGTCATTATTGTGTATGCATATGGTATGAAAATGTACTCATTTGATAATTCTGTATATTCCTCAGCATCAACAGCCCTCTACTGCACAGCATCAACAATGCTCTTAAACAGTTCTCCTGATGCAGCAAATTGTCAATATAATTTTAACTGGATCTCTTTGCATTTGATGTGTAGAAAAGCTATTTATTGACATGTGCTAATTAAACAACATTTTAAATTATTTCGTTTGTTTATTCCTGTGAAGTGGGCCATGTGTAAATATGAGTGACAGGAGTAAATTGTTTGAAAAATTTTTTTATTTAAACTTGGATACAGAATCAAACAAAAAATGTCAACAAAAATGAAATCCATAGGAACACAAGTTTTAAAATTGTAACTACTCATTGTAATAAAAAAAAAAATAATTCCACAATCATTAGAACATGCCTAACTTGATTGAATAAGAGTAATAAATAGATCTGAGTTAAATATAGGGGTGCAAAATAAAAAACAAAACAAAATCCAGAAAATCAAAAGTGTGTACAAAAAAATTCAAAAAACTTTATCAGCAACATTATCATTGAAAGTTAAATATAATCCTTACAAAAATCTCCATGTCTCAAGCAGTAGTATAATCAATACAAGCATAACATTAATAATAGTTTATTTGATCATTCCATTTTTTAATATTATCTTAAATGTTAAAATGATTAATGGAAATGCAAGGCCTAGAAATAAGAAGTACATCAATTTTAATAATTAGATTAGCTTGAAATTAAATTTGAGTTTTCTTTTAGAAACCTCCAAATATTTCAAATTGAATGGCATGATGGTTGTGGTTGTAATAATTACTAAAAACAAAAACAGGAATCAAACATAGCTAAATTAAATTATTACTGATTTTGACTTATCTTATATTAGAGACTAATCTCTTAAAATATTTTGAAAAATATATTAAAGTGTATCATTGGTATCCACATTTATCACAAAATGTCAGATCAATGTAGTGTATTTTAATTACAAAATGAAGAGATTAAAGTTTTATTTGTCATGATTTTAATATGGTACCGGTATCTTATAGTATTGTGCTTTTAAACAAAATTTTACTAGCCTGATTGCACTCTATCCTTTTAACTTGTAAAAAGATAGATGTTACTGATATCAATAAATACTTAATTATAACATTTTATTCATTATATTAATGCACAGACAAATCCTTATGTTACAGGAGTGTTAAACAATCACAAATTCTTTTTGAAGGTATAAAACTAATAATTTTTTTTAGCTAATTTTAGATTCTAATAGTTTTCAAACGAACACACATCAACATTTCTGATATACAATGTATTTTTTAAAATGGTCACCATTTAATTTTGACTTATGTTTAAACCAGTATTATTATTAAAGCTGTTTTAATATTTGACTTGGAGCAATTAGTAAGAAGTAAAAGTAATTTTTGACATCTTAATAATTACTTTTCAGAATATCCCACTAATTACCAGCCCTATTATATCTCTTAACTAGTTTGGCTAAAAAAGCATTCAGTTCTAGTTGCAAAAGGACAATGTTTATGTTGACTCATAGTCTTAATGTTGTACAAAATGTATCATTTAGAAAAACTAAATGCCGGGCCTAATGCATAACAAGTAGAGAGGTGCTTTCAAGATTAAGCTGCAAAAGAAACAACAAAAAAGCAACACAATTCTACATTTAAAAAAAAGCAAAACCCACCACATAAATATTAACTGTATATCAATAGTATCTGAAACATAATCATACTATTATAGTTCCTTTACCTCATTGTATTTAGTAGCAGCTGCAACTGACTCTGTGAGGTGATTTTTGTCTCAAAGAGTAACAAAAGAGTAACATGGATGTTTTATAAAAGCTGCCTGTAGAATTGTTAGATTAAAGCTAATGACTTGGGTAGTTGTACACATTAGGTGTGATTGTGGAAAGAGTATGAGTGAAGCTCAAAAGTTATTAAACTCCCTGAAAATGTAAAGCCAAAAAAAAAAAAAAAGTAAAAATTGACTGATTACAAGAGATTAGTGTTTTTCCCCCTGAATTTTATGCAGATTTTAATGTAATATAATATAAACAAAAATCAATTTTAAGTCAGTCATTGCATAATAATTTCTAGATTCACTCTTTTGATTTTTTGCCACAAAATATTTGGCAAAGCCACAATTTATTACCGGTATAGTTAAAGCTAGTGTGGGTTCGCTTTAATGCGAGGACCACTGTGATAAAACGAGTAAATAAATGCAAATCATACCTTCAAAAAGACTTAAATAATAAAACGCCTTGAATACAAGATTAAAAATCTTTTCTTTTTTTTTTTAAAATGACCAGAGAGATGTATATAAACATTAATAATTTATTGTAATGGTGCAGTCATTCAATGTAACCCGGGTCAACATCCAGTTTTCTTGTATACTTCTCAGTCTCATGTTAAATAATGAAAGACTGATGTAGCCATGGAGGGACATTGATTTTCATATCACAGTTGAGATTCATATTGATTAATGAAGGGAATGTTTACTCGTACACTTTTAGTTTAGAACTTAGGGAAGCAATCATGTAAAAAGAGTTGTTGCACTGAGGACAGGGGAGCTTGACAAGAACAAAACTTCCTTTTGGGTGTGAGAAACTGGGTGTAATAAAAAACAGGACCATATACCAACTACCTTGTATTGTAATAATATTATGTAACATTTATTTATAAAAAATCATACTTTAAAAGCCAGTGTTCCTATTGGGAGACCAAATTACTTGTCACTTCTTTTTAATGCTGTATATAAATTTATTCATTATATTTGGGTGAATCTAAACCCACAAGATGTAGTTAATTGCAAAAAACATTTGTTGCAATGGCTATGATAAATGCACTTTTTGTTTTACCAACTGTTAAAAAACTTCACACAATAGGTTATATATGAATATCCTGGTTTAAAAAAAATAAATTATTGAGCAATTTTTTTTTAAAATCTGGTGGAAACTTTGCTCAAATTTTCATAAATTTATTTACCCGTACCAGTTCTAATCTAAAACTGATAAAATCAACCTTTAAATAAAGTTCACTGACAGCAAAAAAAATGTTGATGTACATTCTTAAAAATATGTAAAACATGCTCCTTAGGAATGTATAAAAAATGTAATATCTTTTCAATCTGTAAACAGAATAAATACAATTTACAAAGTCTTTGAAAATACTTCAATCACCAAAACTACATCTGCCACCAAAAAGAAATGGTTTTAAATGTTGAGCAATCAACCCAAACAGCAATTAACAAAAAAGGCACATTAAAAATAAACATGTCTGCCTTCGTGGACATTATTTAAACTACAATTTAGATTTGACCAACGACATCCCCTTTGATTTGGTTAGTGACCGGCACAGATCAAAGGCTTGCTTCGGTGGGCTGGACATGGCCAACATAACCAATTTACAAACTTTTGCCATGTGGTCAATGACATGGAAGGGAACAAACTTGTTGACGGGCATGTACACAACATGATCTATTAAATACCTGGCATTGAGGGGATAACGATCTTCAGGGGGGACAATCTCGCCGACAATATTTGGCTGAGAGGGCAGGTCAACCTGATCTGGTTCTATGACATTGAGTTGGGTGGCCCCTCTGTATGCATCTACACCTAAAGCTCCAAGACATCTTACGAACAACTCAGGATTTTCCTTTGTAAAATAAGTTACATTTAGAAAAGGCGAGATACTAGTTACTAGTTGATCTTATTACTTCCTTAAGTTTACAAAAACTATATGATAGTGTTATAAAAAAAATTTAAAAAACATTTAACAGAGATGGAAACATTCATACACATGAAAATTGGAATAAAAGACTCACCACAACGACAGGAAATAACCAGAAATTGTTTATCTTGGTTTTGGTGCCGATTACTTTTAAAGAAGTGGTCAAGTTTGACTGAAAGTAGCTGCACTTAATGCGCTGCAGATCAAAGCTGGCTGGGTTAAATGATGTCTGAACACCGGCCATAACAGAAAGGAGGGCAGAACTAGGCCTGTACCTAACATTATTTATAAGGTCATTGGGGAAACCTCTAAGGAAGCAGACAAAAGTGGCTTTCCAATCCATACCCATCTCTCTTGATTTCTGCATCAGTTGAGGGAATGGCCAGACTTGCAATGTTGTATACAAGGGGAAATACTTCAATAATTTCTTTAAATATGTTGCATTGCTTTGAATAGGGTATTTTAAGTAAAGTTCATGCATTTGACGATAGAGCTCTTCCTCTCTAACCTTGATGATGTTGCCACCAAAAGAGGTGGAGAACTTGATAACACCAAAGCTGAATAAGGCGAGATCTGAATCAGGATGACCAATGTGCACAAACCCAGAAAAACTTTCAGCACAATCCTCAATGATGTCAAGGTTGTAATATCTGGCTACACTTATGAAAGGATCCATGTTGACCTGTCGACCATACAGGTGGGCTACCAGTATGTCAACAGTGTTTCGGTTAATGAGCCGCTTCAAGAGAGGCAATTTGGGTTCTAGTGTATCAATGTTGTTGTCTAAAGGTACAACAGTCAATTGATGATGTCTAATGATGCTCGCCATGTCCTGGATTTTAACAAAAAAACAAAACAAAATCAATTTTAACCAAACTAACTTACCCGAAAAAGTTAGTACTTCGTTATCAACTCTTAATTTATATAGTTTTTAAAGAAAAGCTCAATAAATCTACAGGTTTGATGTTGATATACCGGTAAAATGAATAAAAAGTGGATCATTTAAAAACTGTTAACCGGTATTATTATTAAAATTGACAAAGAAAGCTGGAAGCTCTAAAAGATTTTTAAATACTGGTGAGGAATTTTGGGGTGGATAAATAAAAATGCCGCTGTAAGATAATAAAATATGGCAGTCAGCAACAAATTACTATGTTAAATTTGAACAATTAATGATAATTCATACTGATTTTGGCAGCATGAAATAGGTTTTGTGGCACCAGTACTACAATTTCTTACATTTTAGTAAATGCAGGTGTTGGTAAACCATGTAACTGTCAACAATCCTTTTGATTACTCTTTTATGATATCTATATACATAATTCGCCCGCAAAGGTCAAACACCACCACCACCACCACGCAGGCTATATATAGATACGCCAGAGTGTGGTTCAATAACGAGCAAAATATAATTCTCGATAACTACGCTAAATGATATATATATATATATATTTAATAACACAATTGGGTTTGGTGCGTAATATTTTCTTTTCGGAAATGAAATTGTCTCAATTTAAGTATTGTGTAAAAAATATTCGGTTTAAAAGTGGTTAGAATGTGAGAATATATTTAGTTCATGGGTGTGAAATAAAAGTGTGCAGTGACGTATCATGGGGGAAGGGGTGTAGCAAATATTGGGATTCTTAAATGTGCGTTACTTGAGTTCATGTTTTGTCAAGTAACTTTACTACATGGTAAGTTAATGAATTGCTGTCGCCAATGTTTGGCGGGCTTCTTCTAGTTATTCTTTATTTGAGCATTTCTTCTCTACCTTTTACAACAATATACTTACAGGAATATTAACAACAGACATAATGACTTCTGATCCTGGTGGAAATTTTTCACCCGCAAATACAAGTCCAAGCCTGTCCGAACACAAAGACATGGAATGACTGGGTTTGGATTGGATGGTGTGTTCCACAATTGCTTAAGCGTGTTCTCATAATCCTCCCTGGCTTTGCTGCTATGATAAATAAGACACTGGCGTGTTGAAAAACACAGCTGAGAGTAAGAGCTATCTGGAGAAAAATAATCAAGAAAAATATTTTTTTCAGTGCTGTGACAGTAACTTGTACTATAAGATAAGATATCAATCCAGTAATCTAATAATTCACCTCTCTCTACTCTTTTTGTGTGTATTGTATTCCTACAATAACACTTATCATGTGTAATACTACAGGACCTGGTCAAAAAATGGGGAGCAAAACTAAATATTTAATTGTCACAAAATCTTAAATTAAAATTGTATTTTTGTGAATGTTAATTATAGGAATCTTGCATTTGAACCTACCAATGATGATTGCAGAGTAAGCCTGGCTCGGAAAGCTCATTTTACTGTTACTGCCCAGCTCTATGCACAGACTAGAGATATTGCCTTTTTTTAATAAAATAACTCAACATGGAGAGAGCTAAGATAAATAGACATAAAATAATAAAACAGTGCAAATGGATTTTCATTCATGAATTCTAACATCATTTCCATCAATTTATTTATAAACCATTAAAATGCACAAGACAATTAAATTAAGTCAAGACAACGTATACCAATGTTTCCTAACTTGTGCCTTACGCCCCAAATGGAAGCAGTTTGAAGGTTATGGTAGGGAACAAATGGAAATGGCCTCAGACATTCACCTTAACTGAATATCCTGGTTTTTTCAAATACTCGCCTCGGCAAACACTATTATTACTACCGAAGCAAATCCGTACATTCATTTGAAAATTAAACTTTGAAAGTTATTCACTACATTTGCATTCCTAAATATGGGTGGCTGGATTTCTATGCAGGGTAAACTGAGTCAATTTCCAACTTGTGGATTGGAGCTCAATCCCCACCAAAACCCAGAAAGAAAGAAAAAAACATCAGCTACTTAACAATAACTTTTTATCCATAAGATACGGGGTATAACATTAGCTGGGCACATATTCTAAAATGTTTACATCCTTCCCAAATGAATAATTTCATAAATCACAACTTTTAAATATAAATAGCTTGATTAAAGCCAGATTTTTGTCAAATTTTGATCTAAGTATTATTTATTAGAGATAATGATGTAATTAATTGTATTAATTAGTAATACAGATTCCTGTATTTAAATTAACAAAGAAAAGTCAGTCATCCAACTAAAAAAATTTATTGAGTTTACCATCTTCTAACATTTTTTTTACCATACTGTAACAAGGATAAATAGAAGCTTTTTTACTTTATGCACTAAGTGGACATAAAGTGTTAAAAGTAGGGGTTCGCATTGTACATGCAGGTTAAAAAATTAATTACCAGTAAACGATATCGGAATGGTATCTGTGCGTAACAATAACACCTGTAATTTTAGTAGCGCTCTTTTGAAGAGATTTAGCATAACTGTATTAGAATGACCACACTTCGTCTTAAATATTATAACAATTTAAAGGATTTTGACATTTAAAAATAAATTTCTTCATGAATAATGTACACAGATGGTACCCGGGTGCGAATTGCGGCGCTGTGTCTAGGTCCATTTTGACTTGGTGCTATTCGGATATCATTTGTGGTAGTTTATTTTAGTTAAACTGAAGAATTCAGTTTACAAACATATAGTCCATTCAAGTATCTTCCATTTGATACCTCATTTTGTCTTACAAACCCAACAATAAAATTTTAAATAGTTTTTTAATCCCAACCTCTCACTGCGGATACTCGGGTATGAATAGCCACTCCGATATATTATAGTATCTTAAAGTGTGGCAAAGGGGGTAGGTAAGGGTAACCAAGATGGCGGCCATAGAAAAAAACGTGGGCCGCTAAGTCTGAATTTACCCATTTTGTTATGGAGGGATAGTAAATTGGGCCAGGTGCACAATTTTTTTTTATGTACATCATGCCATCATGGCCAAGGTTTAGGGGGCATAAAATATCTTGGCACCAAAGGGCCGTCATACTATTTTAGGCAAATTTTAACCCCACTCCCGTCACAATTCTCAGAACCCCACTCCCCCTAAAGTAATTCACACTTTCAAATTAAAAAAACTGTTTAAAAAATTGAATAATTAAAATTACTATACACAACTAATACTAAATAGTAAATGACATCTTCTGTCAAAATACATCCACCACAACAGAAAAAAAATAGTGATAGTGCCTACTACAGTTAAAGTTTACCCCAAAAAATTACTGAATAGTAACTAAACTTTCATTTCAATCCAAACTCTATTACCCTTAAACTTAAAGCCTTAGTCTTAGTTAAACTAAGCTCAAAACGGGTAACCGAAAAATTCGTTTCAAACTAATTTATTAACATTTATTTACCTGCTATTTGTTATTTTTTAGGTCTCGCAGACATGGAAAGGAGGTCAGAAGACGGCTTGCATTGATACGGCACGGGGTCAAACTTTTACCGAGAGATATTATCAATCCAGGACCTTTTCTGACTTTTCCTTTTAATTAATAATTAATAATATAAACTTTAGATTGAAGAATAATGCGGTTACATTTTTTTTTAAATCGTATACATTGAATTAAAAAAACACATACTGTTAGGGCTATTTATATACTTCGTTTCGGTAAGTAAATGTAGGTCAATGGTGTAACTATTAATTTTCACTTCTCTTTGTTTACACGTAGTCAAGGAAGGTCACGCTTCCGTAAAGGAAAATGGCGGACATGGAGCAATCAAAATGCAGAGAATCGTTTATAACTACGAATTGGCCAATCATCTACTTTTGTGCGCACGTAATACACATGGTTTTTACTTTACTGAATGGTTATTTTTAGATCAATTAGTCATCGGAATGGCATTCTAAATGCGATGATTAGCTTTCAACGATGCCAAACTTGATAGAATCGATCCGATGGATACCACGCAATCAAGTGTTGAAGAATAGGTCATTTGGGGTTAGGTGTGAACAAAAACATAGACCCCCAACCCCTAAAAATCACAATTATTATGTTAAAATTATTTAATTTTATAATTTTTACCTTATTTAATGATAATAAAGATATTAATCTAACAGAAAATCCAAGTTTTTAAGAATCGATATTTTTTCAAATTTCGATTATTTTGTGACCCGTGGATTTAAAAAAAAATTAAATTAATATAGTTTTTTTAGAATGGATAAAATGTGATGCATATCGGTTCGAATAAATTAATATTTCTTATTTTAAAAAATATATATTTGACGATTAAAGCTTAAAATAATGTTTGCTGTGTCCCCTATAATATGAGGGCAAGGGTCATCTATTTATAAATCGTTAAGACCAAAAGATAAGTAAACAGTGAACAGATTTCACCAAACAGTGAACAGAGATCACCGAAAATACCAAGCCGAAAAGCCCAACACGACTAACTGTCATTTTATCGATGTCCGTATTGAAAACACCTTGCTGTCATCCGAGAAGAGAAAGACTTTAAAAGCCAGGGCCTATACTACTATTATAATGAATAATGTGTGACCTGTCGTATGTCGTCAACTCAAGATCACTGATGGATTATAAAGTTAAAGTGAGTAGCCATTAGGCATTAATTCAAAATGTTATAATTACCGGTATACTATTTCTTCTTCTTCTATATCTTAAGGGCCCACGATCAATTTATTGATCATTTTGGCTCCTATGCATGTAGATGGGATTTGCAATGTTTCTGTTACTGGTGGTGATGAGGAAATTATGCACTAGGGGTTTGAAGGCTTGAAATGGGATTTGCAATGTTTCTGTTACTGGTGGTGATGAGGAAATTATGCACTAGGGGTTTGAAGGCTTGAGGCAATAGACACAAATGTGTCTAGTGTTGTCGCCTCAACTGTTCCTTTTGAAAGATGGTTCCAGTCCCTGATTGTCTATTTATACATGTAACTGTAACCTACTAACTATTACTACTAAGAATTAATTAGTATGAGTGATTTCTGATTACTGGTACCATTAACTCTTTCCCTCTGGATCAACGCTCCCATCGTCGATTTGAAATGAAGATTTTTGCGTATAAGATCGCCGATGTATAAAAACTTGTTTATTTCGGTTGTTTTGTTAGCTATTGGTATTTAGTTATTTTAAATCAATTCTTGAATGATTTCCCTTTCATAAACATCCGGTTTTATTGTTTTTGAACGAAGAACGAATTTTGGAAGCGGTTGTTTTGATTGTCCATTTTATTTTTGTTTACAAACATGAAATCTTGACCTGACCTATCTGGTGATCGATCTAATAAAGGTGGGAAATATTACTCTGAGGATGATTCAACCAGTGATTTTTATGATTTCAAATGCAGAGGCTGATTCTGTTTAATCGTATGATTATAATACTATTACTACTACTAGTATTAGTATTTAGTATTACTAGTGTTGAAATAATGAAATGAAATTGATAATTCATCAGCTTATGAACAACCAACCCCGCCCCCAGGTAAAGTGCACATCCATATAGATTATTTTTTAGGCTTACTATAGCTAAACCCAGATGGAAATATGTGACAAATGTATAGTAAATTTTCCACTTATTATTATAAATGTTAGTACATACAAGGATACAGTGCAATTATTTTCCAGATTGTTTCCAGTGGAATCAGTTAAATTTTTTGTGTGACGGTGATATTTAGATATTTTGAAATTTGTCCCCACATACATTGAAAATGATGGGGGAAAGTATAAATATTTACATTCTTTTCATAAAAAATGAGATAATTGTGAATATTAATAAGCATCTAATATAGATAATCTAATATATTCAAACTTGCGGCCTGCTAGACATTAGTTCTTAAAGATCGTTTAGTTTGCTCTTAAAGATAGTTTAGTTTATTGTTAATGATCTGTTAGTTTGTTTTTAAAGATCGATTAGTTTATTCATAAAGATCGCTTAGTTTGTTCTAAAAGATCACCAATTTAATCTTAAAGATTGTTTAATTTGTTCTTAAAGATCACTTAGTTTGTTGTTAAAGATTTAGTTTGTTATTAAAGATCGCTTAGTTTGTTGCTAAAGATCGTTCAGTTTTTAGTTAATGATAGCTTTATTTGTTCTTAAAGATCGGTTAGTTTTTTCATAAAGATTGCGT